TCTGAGGCCGAACAATATCGTGAAGATGATGAGAAACAACGCGAAAGGATTTCTGCTCGTAACAGCCTGGAAGCATATGTATTCAGTGTGAAACAAGCAATCGACCAAGCTGGTGACAAATTGAGCGACGATGATAAATCAAAGGCACGTAATTGCTGCGAGGAAGCCATCAAATGGATTGATAGCAACGGATTGGCCGATAAAGATGAATTTGAACACAAAATGCAAGAAGTCAGCCAGATTTGCTCGCCAATCACGACGAAGATCCACACTGGTGGAGCGGGAAGTGGACCAAGCAGCTGCGGCCAACAAACTAGAAACAACTCCAACAGTCATCGTGGTCCAAAAATTGAGGAAGTCGATTAAATCCATAAGAACATATAGCGAATAAGTAAATAATCAGTATCACAAGCAAAAAGTAATAAAATAAGAAAATTTATTTTTAGATCTCAGATTAAAATGTAATTAGAATTAAGAAGAATAAAATAAAAATATCAAATCTGTTGAGTTGAGAAAAAAAAAACAAAAAAATCTTTTATTATAAAGAATTTTAATAAAATCAATGCGAAAAATACAAACCTTTGAATTGCACGAGCAACACGATTCATCGAAAAGCATTTGAGTGTTTTACACCGAGAAACGTCAAGCAATGAGTGACAGATGATAATAACATAAACAACTTTCATTCGCACAATAGATGCGGCTTCTTCTGCTTTACATTTTAAAATGAATCGCAATGGAACATCAAAATTCTTCTACTCCGATTCCACCGTCATTAAACAATAGAATCAACGCTTTGTTGCGGCTGTGCCGAGTTTGTTTGGCTAAAACAGATACAAATTTCATATCCATACATTCGTTGTATTCATGGAGTGGAACCGAAAATCGTTCGACGGTATCGATGATAAAGAATTTGTTGAACGTGAATGTAAGTTTCAAATCAAATACTTTGAAGAGAATTCAACAGCAAATCAAGCAATTATTTATCATTCAATAGATTTCTAGTGAAAAGCAGCAGCCACAGCGAATCTGTTCAAAGTGTTTCAACAAAGTACGCTTGATTTATGCATTTCGAAATCAATGCCATGGAACCAATATCAAGTTGAGGGAATTTCACAAGCAAATTGTGGGCAAATCAAACATTCAACAGTCGAGGACAGACGGTGGACCTGAAAATGTTACTACAAAATATGAAACCACTTTGAAAATCGTTAACAATTTGCACTTGGACATTGCGAGTCAAACAGCTGATGCGTATACGGAGAGGCAGGAAAAGTCTATTGTTGACGATTCCTCAAATCCTAGCATGGATTCACCGACACTCGACCAGAGTTATATCAGATATTCAACTGATCCATACGAAGATATTGCCATTACAATTGAGGACAACCACCAAAATAAGAATTCAGAGAGAGAAAATGAGGCTGCCAAATTACACAAGAGTTCAAATGTGATAGAAGTTTCACCAGATGTCAAAGAAATTCCTCAATCCACCGATGAATCCATTGCTCCACCTGGGGATATCAAACGGAAAAAACGAACCGATAATAGTGACGATGTAGTGAATTTCAGCCCAGCCTCCGAGCTATGTGCACTTTGTGGATTACAATTCGAAAATTCAGCCGAGTACATCCGCCATATGCGTACGAAGCATGACGAAGGTGAAATTCATATCGATTTTTAATTGAAAGAAAAGTTAGAACGAAGAAAAGATTCGAATGGAAAGTGGACCCACTTTTTCTCACGGTTAATCCTATTTTCAGGTGCCAATGAGAAGAAATTCAAGTGCCAATACTGCGGAAAAGGTTTCAGACAAAAAGCTGGTCGAAACTTACATCACAATCTACACACACAGGAAGAGAAATTCATATGTGATTTATGCGGAAAGGTTTTCCTAACCAAAATCAGTATTATACTCCATTTTAAGTATCATTTCGGTATAAAAAAGCACGCGTGTACCGAATGCGGTTATCGTTTCGTCACTCCACGTGAGGTTCGAGATCACATAAAGAAGAAACATTCGGCCAAATCGATAGCTTGTACTTACTCCAATTGTTCTGCAACATTCAGCAGTGAATACCATCTAAATATTCATCTGCGAGTGCATGATACAAATCATGCGTACGTTTGTGTTATTTGTGGCGTGGCCACGGTCAACAAATACCGTCTAACGGAACACAAACGAATTCATAGCGGCGTCAACAAAAGCAAATGTCCAATTTGTTTGAAGGTGTTCGCTAGACAACGCAATGTCGCACGACATATGAAAACAAGACACAAAGATCACAAACTTTAGAAATAAATTTTTCAAAACCAAAAAAAAAATGCCAATGTTGTTTTTATCCACATAAAAATCCAAAGCTGAAGTTCCAATTGTTATCCTTTTTACTATAAAATTGAATCGAAGAAGATGTGCCACAGTTAGCTTGACAAAAAAATACCTTAAATGAAAAAAATATTTGTTCTTTTTTTTCATAATCTCAATAAAATTTAATGATTGTTTCCATTTGCCATAATTCTCAGTGAAAACTTCCAAGCATTTGTTTTATAAACACGAGACGAAGAATGTGTGTAATATTTTTATACTTGTATGAGAAAAAAACGAAAAAAATTCTCTTGAAATACAATCAAATGTGGTCTTATTCAAAGTTAACTTAGATGAAGGGATTATTTCAATAATTATTCAAATAAATATAATCATTCAGTGCCAATACAGACTTGACGAATTTTTATGCTGATTTCATGAAATTCAGGTAAACTTTGATCTTGCTTCAATATTCATTCACATCCTTAATGATTCCAAAGTTAGAGAAAATGAAAATAACTAATTAAAATTTAACCCAATTCTAATTTCAACCAGTAATCCGGTACCAAACGACGAGCTGTTTGGATTTA